GCTCTTGCTGGCATTGGCCATCCAGTCAATGAATCAGACCATATAGAGATCATTTTTTATGGTCTCATTGAAGAGTATGATTCTTGGATCACTGCTGTAACTACAAGATCAGATCCGTATACTGTTGATGAAATAGAGTCTTTGCTCCTAGCTCAAGAGTTCAGAATTGAAAAGAACCAAAAGTTGGTGACAGCTGCTGTGGCAAATATTACTCATACTAAACCTCCAAACAGAGGAGGTGGCCGTTTCAGGGGAGGCAGCCATAACAATCGCGGTCGAGGACACTCCAATGGAAGTAATAACTTCTCGTCCAATAACTCCTCGGCTGGAAAGATCATAGACTCATGTCAAATTTGTGAGAAGAGAGGCCATAGTGCCAAAGAATGCTGGTATTGCTTTGATGAGTCCTTCCAAGGACTGAATCTGGATAACAAGAATTCCAAGAAAAATCATAGAGCTTATGTTGCGACGGCTGAATGTGTTGGCGATCCAGACTGGTATCTTGATTCTGGTGCAACCAGTCACGTGACCTCTGATGAGAAGAACATCATGGATAAATCAAGTGAAAAATGTGTAGATCAAATTTTTGTTGGTGATGGTAAAGGCCTTTTAGTTCATTGCACTAACTCCTCTTTGTATGTTATTCCTCACTCTCAGTATAATCTTAAACTTAAAGATATTCTCCATGTTCCTGAAATTTCTAAGAATTTACTAAGTATCCCTCGGTTATGTCTTGATAATCCAATTCTGATTGCTTTCTTTTCTAATGTTTGTGTGATCAAGGATCTGCAAACTAATTGTGTCATCTATCAACGTCATCTCAAACGGCAGCATTCAAGTCTTCATGGAGTCTCTTTGTCCATTCAACATCCTGTCTCTCAGTCTTCAACTCAACCTTCTGCTTCCGCTCAACACTTTGCCTATGTGTCTACTTCCACTGATTGTAATTCCTCTGTTTCTGCCTTGAATAAAACTGATGTGTCTTCTTTTTGCATCTGGCACAATAGACTTGGTCGTCCTTCATCTCCCGTTGTATCTCAGGTCATGAAACTCTGTAATCTTTCAACTGCTAATAAGAAATCTATGTTTGATTTTTGCAATGCTTGTTGTCTTGGTAAAGCTCATCGTTTACCTTATACTCTGTCTTCTACTCAATATTCTTGTCCTCTTGAGTTAGTTCACTCAGACATTTGGGGTCCTGCCCCTTACACATCCCTTGATGGTTTTAAGTATTATGTGCATTGTACTGATGCTTACACCCAATTTACTTGGTTCTAGCCAATGTACTTGAAATTTCAAGTATATGATATTTTTCTTGAGTTCAAAAAGATGGCTGAATTACAGCTTGGTTGCTCGATGAAAGCTTTTCAGTCTGATTCAGGTGCTGAGTATTTGAAGATAGGGCGTTTTCTTAAAAATAATGGTATTGTTCATAGACTTTGCTGCCCCTATACTTATGAACAAAATGGTCTTGCAGAAAGGAAACATAGATCAATTACTGAGACTGGCTTAACACTGTTAGCTAATGCTTCTTTACCTTTTCAATTATGGGTTGAAGCATTTTCTACTGCTGTTTATTTGTTTAATAGACTGCCCAATAAAGCTATTGGTGGAGTTTCTCCATTTCAGAAGCTGTATGGAAAGGCTCCCAGTTATGGTCATCTCAAAGCTTTTGGGTGTACCTGTTTTTCACTTACCATACCTTACAATAGACATAAAATGGATTTTCGATCTGTCACATGTATTTTTGTTGGCTACAATGTTGCTCATAAAGGATACAAGTGTTGGGATCCAAATGGTAGAACCTATATTTCAAGGGATGTTATCTTTAATGAATCTGAGTTTCCTTATCTGCGTCTGTCCTGTTGCTCTGAGTCTTCTTCAAATTCTACTTCATCTTGTTCTGTACTTCCTTCACCACCTGTCATCACTCGTGTCTCTTCTCAATGCAATGATACTACTGGTCCTATTATTGCAGAAAGTTTTGGTGCTTGTAGGTCTTTTGATGGTGACTCTAGTTATGATTCCTCACATGGAACTATGGTGTCATCTTCACCTAATAATCACACTGCATCTCAATCTTCACAAAGTCAGTCATCAACTCCAATTCCTCAAGTACCAGACAGACGTGTAGTCACTCGGTCTATGAATGGTATCTTCAAGCCTAAGGTCTATATTGCTGAAACAGAACCAACTTCTGTCACTGCTGCTCTTTCATCTTTGGTATGGAAGAAAGCCATGGATGAAGAATATGAAGCCTTGTTAAGAAATAAAACATGGTGTCTTGTTGAGTTACCTTCCAACCGACAGGCTATAAGATGCAAATGGGTATGGAAACGAAAGACAAATCTTGATGGTAGTATAGCCAAGTACAAGGCCAGGCTTGTTGCAAAAGGTTTCTATCAGAAAGAAGGATTTGACTTCAATGAGACCTTTAGTCCTGTTGTCAAACCTGTTACTATTCGGGTGGTACTGTCTATTGCTATCTCTCAGCATTGGTCCATAAGGCAAGTTGATGTTAATAATGCCTTTCTTAATAGCACACTTCATGAAGAGGTATATATGCAGCAACCCCCTGGTTATGAGCATAGGAATAAGGCACTTGTCTGTAAACTTGATAAGGCTCTGTATGGGCTAAAGCAGGCCCCACGTGCCTGGTACGAAAAGTTATCCAATGTTTTTCATACACTTGGTTTTCAAAGCAGTAAGTGTGATCAGTCTCTCGTTGTTCGAATATCTGGTTCAGAGGTTATATATGCTTTGGCTTATGTAGATGACATCATACTCACTGGTACCTCTTCTACTACCATCACAAACATTATTGCAGCCATGAATAAAGAGTTCACTCTTAAGGACTTTGGTAGTCTTAATTACTTTCTTGGAATTGAAGTGCATCGTCCTACTGATGGTTCCCTTGTTTTATCTCAAACAAAGTATGTTCGAGATATTTTGACTAAGGCTAGTTTGTCAAAAGCAAAAGGGGTAGCTACTCCTATGGTTTCTAGCATGAAACTCTATAAAGAAGGCTCTACTCCTTTTGATAAACCTGAATTATACAGATCTATTGTTGGTGCTTTACAATATGCTACAATTACACGACCAGAAATTAGCTTTTCAGTCAACAAAGTGTGTCAATTTATGTAGTCTCCACTTAGGGATCATTGGGTAGCTGTCAAGAAAATCCTCAGGTATCTTGCTGGAACTATTCATCATGGTCTGCGTCTATCTCCTTCTGCTACTCGATCTGTTATTGCCTACTGTGACTCTGACTGGGCTGCTGATTGTAATGACCGCAAAAGCACAAGTGGCTACTGTGTTTACCTTGGTAATAATCTGGTTTCTTGGTCTTCAAAGAAGCAGATCACTGTTGCAAGGTCCAGCATAGAAGTTGAGTATCGTTGCATGGCTTCCACTGTAGCAGAAGTTCTGTGGCTCAAGTCTTTGTTTTCTGAGTTAAAACTAAAGATCTCTGGTGTTCCTCAAATCTTGTGTGACAATCTTGGAGCTGTTCTTATTACAGCCAATCCTGTCCTGCATGCGCGTACTAAACATCTTGAGTTAGATTTGCACTTTGTTCGAGAACGAGCCATTAGGAAAGAAATATAAGTCACTCATGTTCCAGCTTCATGTCAAATAGTTGATGGGTTAACTAAACCCCTTTCAAGTTCAAGATTTATTGATTTCAAGAAGAGACTTCGAATAGACGAGTACATCAAATTGAGGGGGAATGATAGTGTAGTTAAGTAATTTAGTTATGAGATTAAGTTATATGTAACTGAATATGTTAGCTGGCATTAGCTGTCACGCATAGTACTCTTCCTGCTCTCTGCCTTTACGTGTAGTGCTCTTCTATAAATAGTGTACAAGCTCTCATTATTATAATATAATACACTATTCAGTCAAACACTTTTGTCCTAGTCTCCATCCTCTCTCTCCTTCACAATACCTTTAGTCTTTAAGGACCTGTCCTTTATAACTGATTATCACGAATTTAGAATTGAAATTTCGTAAATTAATTGAAGGGATCTGAAGTTGAAGAAGATATTTTGGTCATTTTACATTCATTACAAATTACAACTGGATCCCAAGAGGCCTGCCTATATTTTTCACAAATTGGCAAATTGCCTGTGTTTACGCAATTTTTCCTTGCTTATAATTCAATGGACCTCAAATTTGAACAAATCATAATTGATTATATATTTTGTATTTTGTGGATCTCATTTCGAAAGTGTGTGCGGGCGCGTAACATTAAAGTATCTTTATCTCATTGACTGTGAAGTCACCTTTCGTAGTTACTTATACATGACGTTAACAGTTCATGTCCGTTTGAAATTTTTACTACCTCTCATTTTTAATATAAAAATTATATAACTCATTTGTAAAAATTAAATAAATAAATTAAGTTGGTTATTTATAATAAATAGATCTTGTCTTTTTCAAAATATCCATATGAAAAATGTACATTGAAATTACCCTTTCATTAAAACTCCTTAACATGTGCAATTAATGTAAGGATTATTTCGGAGCAAAATGGATAAATATTAAAGACGAAATATATTAAAATTTTATATTTAGGACTAAATTAAATATCAAATTAACTTTTATATTAAGAATTAGACATAGTAAATTATTTTTTATGTTTGCTAATTTCCTTACTAAATTTATTCATCTGACTCTCAGTTCACTGGAGGTGGAATGCGTGTTCTCCATAGTTTCCGGAATGATATACAGGATACTACTGCCTCTTATTGGATAACTAATTTGCGGAATAAATGCTGCCTTCCTTAAAATATCATGATTAATCCTGCGCATTCAAACTACCCATTGGTGGAAATTAATTTCTTAACATGTGAAATCATCGTAGCGATTACTTGGGCAAAATATAGATAAATATGAGAGACAAAATGAATTGAGATCTTATATTTAGAACTAAGTTAAATCTCTAACTACTTTTTATATTAAGCAGTAGAGGTAGTAATTTATTTCATACACGAAGAGACTAAGCATGTAGTACTCGGCAAGTGCAGAACAGTTTATTAATACCGAAATGAGACACATGACAAACATCACGTAACACAGACACAACACACAAATTATTAAAGGCAGATAGATACATAACACAACACACAGCAGCTATAGAACACCTCAAGGCCTGGGGCGGGGGCATAAGTTGACATTGGCATAGAGATGTTTAGGCCATTCGTCTAGAGCCAGCCACTGGTTCACCGGGAACGACACCTTGGAAGTTTGGCCGCCGGCTCCAACCATGGTGATTTCAACATAATCCAAGTACCACCCTGGCTTGTTCCCTTCGCCGTTGGAGATGACGGACATGGCACAAGCACGGAGGCAAGGGCTCCGGCCACTGAACACGTCGAGGTTGCCCCGCTCGAAGTAGTCGTGACCGGGTCCCATGACACCCCACCTTTCGAGGTTGTCGACGGTAAAGCTAAAGCCAGAAGCGACTTTAACTTGAGGGTCATCTTGGAGTCGGTTCCTGCATCTTTGCGATCTCCTGTCTTAACTCTCACAACGTATGTGCACTGCTCCTGCATGCATACGAACACACACACACACACATATATATATATATATAAAGATTGAAACTAATAATGGATGGATCGACACATACATAGATGAGAGCAATTGATTAATTACTTACAGATGTAGCCAATATTGCTGCGAAGCTGATGAGTGAGAGAAAGAGAAGAAACACAACACGAGACAATGCTATAACTCTAAGAGCCATTATTATGTTTAGTTTGTGATGCTAGTGATGATCGATGAGAGTAATGAGTGCTGAAACAACCGATACATATATATATGCGTGTTTGCGCGCACCTTTTTCGTTTACAATGGACGCCGCATATTCTGAATTCTGAGACATGTTGGTGGGATACAGATTCCGTAGTGTTATCCTCAATATTTTATATTTTGGATTATGTGACCACGCGCACATGGATTAAGATAGAATTATGCTCCCTCCGGTCTAAAGATCCTAAAATTTTATTCGGTCAGTTCTAAATGCAACACATTTTTTGTAGTGTAAATTATATTATAAAAAGGTTTTACATTTAGGATCAGAGGAGTACTTGACCTATAACTTTTTTCTAAATCATGATTTTTTATAAAAATATCTTGTTTCTTCTAAAATATATGAAATAATCCTATTTTAAAATTTAATAATTTTTATATTCATTTTGCGAAATTTTTTTTACTGCAATCTAGGACTTGCTTTTGCCATAAAATAAATGGGTTGGATATGTCGTCGTCATACAATAGTTGATTGGTATTGCAGAATACTCCGTTCAATCCTTTTTGGCGAAAATCATTTTGCAAGTACTTATAGTTTTTCTTAATTTTTAATTTGACATCTGCGTGCTTTTCTCCCTTATTTGAACACTTTAATTTGATTCTGTTAGCATCGTTAAGTTTTGTAATTTTGCTCTATTAGCATTGTCAGTTCTTATGCAAAAGCTAATTGTGCTAACAAAACAAAGATATAATGTTTAATTAGGAGAGAAAAAGATACAGGTGCCAAATTTAAAATTGAAAAAAACTATAGATTCATGCAAAATGGTTTTCCCATAGTGTTATTGTAATAATAAGGATAATAAATTTATGAAATTAAAATATATATATATATATATATGGTGATGGAATCAGGACAATTTTTATAATTATTTGTTTATAATTTATAAGTTTTTTTAAGTATAGGTTCCTTGATGGTTTTTAGGAGATATTTTAAGTTTATATACTTTTGTCTTGAGAAAAAAAAACTTGTTTCTTGTTATTTTTTCTATTACTGTCAATTTTTTAGTCAATTTCTATTTATTTTTTCTATGCTATGATTTTCTTGGCTCCAAATGCATTTAGTTTTAAAATTAAAAAAAATAATAGACGAGATGTTCCTATTAATCTAGTTATGTCCTATCCTAACAAGGATGGATCGCCATTGAGTCGCGACTAGATACAAAGGTGGAAAGGTATATAATGCAATGCCATTTGTAAGTTGGGAATAAAAAAGAGCGTCATTTTAACTAATTTATAAATATCAAAAAATGATACTTCTCTGATACTCTTTATAATCACTTCCAATATATTTCATACATATCAAAAAAAATCTTGAACTTTATATTAACTTCTTTTAAATTTTAGCAAATTTTCAACTTTATTTCTATTTAATATATATTATACTTATATAAATAAAGTCAACATAATAACAAATAAAGGTAAAATTGTATATCCATACCAAAATTTTTCTCAGTACCCTATAAAAAAATATCTTTTCTCTCTACTCTATAAATAAGATTGGAGGAGTAGTTGACTAGTTAATTTTGATCCAAGTTAAAATTTTTTTTTCAACTTTATCCATATTACATGAGGCTGTAAGAGAAAGAAAACGATACAATGAATTACTCCGCTGGTCCTATTTATAAAGCAAAGAGAGAAGTTTTTTTTTATCCTATTTATAAGTCACTTCATTAAATATTTAGCATGAACGTACTATTTCGTCCTTAATTTATTATAGTATGGATAATTATCTTTTTTTAAAAGATGTATATATTAAATAGGGATAAAGTTGAAAAGTTATTATATTTTAATAAAAAGTTAATGCATTTTAAGATTTTTCTTGATGTGTATGAAATATGCTGGAAGTGCGTTATAAATAAGAATATAAGAGTATATTTAAGCATTAATTACAGTGACAAAATTGTCAAGTAAGTATAAATATTCTTCAAGTAACTTATATCTTAGAACAAAGAATGATTAATATTGGAGACGGGGCGGGAGTATTCTTTCCAATTTTCCGTGCACCAGTGCCGCGAAGTCCACTGCGCCTGGCGAAGAAATATAAAAAGAAAACAAAAGTGGCGACCACTGACATCGTATTCTGTGTACACGGCCCTAGACGCAGCTGTTAATATGTTGTCGTGGATCCCACTTAAAATTATTACCAGTAACTTTTCTGCAACGAATAGAGTTTTTTGCGTTGATTCCGTGAGAAACCGAAGAGGAAATTTGAAATTCGAAATAATTACTCTTTCCGTTTTCATTATAAAATCTAATTTTTTAAATAGGTTCATCTTTTTTACAATTTTTTTAAATTTGTTTAAATATTTAATACATTATTATCTATTTTATCTAGAGTTTATTTTATTTAATACATTCTCTTTTTTCATTTATCTCACTATTATTCTCTTATATCTATCTATTTATATTTAGGGTTGTATTTGAAAAAAATTATATTTGTACATATTAATTATTTTTAAATGTTTTTTTAAACAGCATAATTTAATTAAAAAAATTTTATAATAAAAATAGAGTAGTATTTTGATGGTTAGCTGGCAGCATGCTAATAAACCAAGTTTAAGCAAGGCTTTTAATTTTCACTTTTTTCTTATTTTTTAAAAACTTAAGTAAAGATCAATATCTTGGCAGGCCGCCATAGAGATGCGCCCATCAATTGGGTAGGTGAGACTGACAACGATGGTTTCGCAGACTCTAATGGTTGCTACTTGCTACAGCCTTATTTGACTTCTCCTTCTTCGATGCTTATCCTTACACTGAAATTCCAATCATTTAAATGAGTGGCTGGGATTTAAAGTTTTTAATTTACAATTTTCTAATAATAAATTTATTTTTTAAAAAATGTTGGTTATAACATTATTTTTATTTTATATTTTATACCTATTAAAATAAAAATTTATTTAAAATATAAAACCTATTTAATTTGAATCTGGACCATCCAAAATTAATTTGAATTAATTCAGATTAAGATGAGTATTTTGTACCTTTCTTTTTTTTTAATGAGAATGGAATGTGCTCACCTTACCATAGATTCAAAGGAAACATGGATGAAGCCTTTAAAGGCTTATCTTTTTGCCGGGAGGAAAAATACAACCAAGCCAGCACAAGGATTGTCTTCATATACCCACTAGTTTCCTCTGGTTTTGCAGGATTTTTTTTAAATGTTAATTATAATATAATGAACCCCTCAAGATTTTTTTTCAAAAGCGAGGCTTCTTTTCTTAACACTACCAAGTCCAAGTATACATGTTCATTTCTTTTTATTTTTTCGTGGAATTTCATTTGTGATGTATTTTGTCCTTAATTTAGCTTAATTAATCTCAAAACCCAAGATCTACATGGCCATGAAAAGTGACAACATTCAAGTTAATTAATAAGTATTTATAATATGGTTAATTTTTTAAAGAAACATTTATTGATAAATTTCTGAATAATAAGAATATTAAAAATTTCAAATTAAGCTTCGAGAAATTTTGGAGCATGTCTAATGGGATTGGATTTAGTGAAAAATGTTAGTTTCTCGTAATGTGATCAACCAAATAAAAAGCTATCTGTGCATAGCAAAAGAAGGTTTTTGGAACATGAAAATACACACATATATAATTTTTATGATATAAAATTTATAAGTAGCCGCACTAGTAATGAATTATAAAAAAAATGAGGCTTATTTTAATTTCGTGCAAAATGCAAGCTCACGATGTAATTAATTGTGTTCTAGTCATTTAAAATAATTATTATTTTGATAACCTTTTTGAAGTATTATCAACATAATTGATATACCAAATAAGAATCCGAGGGAAAAGACAATAAACATGAAAAACAAAGAAGATTAATATAATGCTGCTTATGGTTATGGCTAAAATAAATTTTCAACTACCTCATGCATCTAAAACTTAAAGGAGTATAACTGCATTAGTTCTAGATCGAGACTGAAGGACTGCGAATGTTGAGGTGGCAAGTGATATGAGAAATATTAACATAAGAAGTATAAAGTGATTCAATTGAGGTAATACACCTAATTCAAAATCACTAGACTTAGTCTCACTCCCTTAATTAATAAGTTTCTAATTAATTAACTCACAAAATTAGATGAATGAGGGCATGCAGAAAATCAGACACAAGTGTCGTTGTAATATTGTTATATGGACCTGAATGATCTATCACTCACACCCTTGCACGAATGGCTTTCTTAAGATGCTTTTGAAGTGAAGTAATCTTTTTTAGTTACTTCTACATGACAATAACACTTTAAGTCTGTTCAAAGTTCATAAATTGTTTCATTATGTTTATAATTTTCTTATCAAATGTATTCATCTCAGTTCATATTTGGAGGTGAAATGCTTGTTCTCCATAAATATTAACAAAAAGAAAAATCTGTTTTTCATGTTTTTATAAAAGAGTTGAGAAAGCTTGGTATAAAAATAAATAAATAATAGTATGCTTAAATACAAAGTTGAAATGTAAATTTGCCCCGTAAATCTTCACTTAAAAATATTAGGTACATAAATTTTTTTGGGAAGCAAGTTTGTCCTAAAATTTTAATATCGTAGCAATGTTGCCCCATGCATTTAAAATTTTAACGTTGACCGTTACAATATTGATGTTCACTATTAAATTATATTTTTAACGGGAGGGAATAATATTACTATGATTTTAAATTTTTTTGACAAATTTGCTTCTAAAAAAAACTTTCGGATACCCATCATTTTTTAATAAAAATTTTCAAGATAAATGTGCACCTTAACTTATAAATATATGAGCATGGGAGGAAAATTCGTCTTGAAAAATAAAGATAGGGGTAAAAAGTAAAAAGGCGTGCATGCCATTGGGCTTGATTTATTATTAAATAGAACAAAATAACACCTACCAGTCCCTTTTGATCAATTCAAAGGGCTCAGATTTCTTCTGCTTCTTTTTTGGTACAAAAGAGGGCTGAACCCAAACTAAAAAAAATAAACTAAGTCAGGTGGGAACTAAATCCCAC